GGGGGGGGAGGGATTGGGGAAGCGGTGTACCGGGCACAACATGAGTACAGACAGTCACTGAGCGAGGACACGGTTGGGGTACTATTGGGGAGCTGCAACCCTCCCCAGGGTGGGAGGTGTCCCAGCTCAGTAAAACTGGGGACAGTCATTGGGTGGGGGGCGAGCGTGGGGAACACCGTATGGAAGCTGGTGCATCCTGGATTGGGGTTGGGGCTTGCTGTCTGTTGCAAATGGCCCTTCAGCCCATCGAGCCCATGCTGGTCAAAAGTGAACACCTAACTGGTCTCATCCCATGCCCCAGCACGCTGGCACAACTGAATGCTACCCCAGCGGTTATGAGGGTTGGGTGGGGGTGGGGCGGTGCTGGATGGCAGCGGTATCGCCGGATCTACCCCACCCCCAGGGGGTGATTCTCTACGTTGACCACAGCTCCCTCTGTGTGTGCATGTCTCTCTCTCTCTTTCCCCCGCAGTGTACGTCTGCTGTGAGCAGAGTGCGCGGGACAGGCTGGTGCCCTTCCTCGGCCCCCTCCGAACGCTGTCTCGCTCGGGCTCCGTGGAGCTGCTGATCCCCGGGGAGGCTGTGCCAGCGGGATGCGCGGTCGCCGTGATTAACCAGCACTGCCAGGTTCACCTCCACCTGAAGGTAGGCATCGCCCACAAGCGATCACCCATCCCAGACCCCTCCTTTCTGCGGGGGTCTAGGAGTGCTGACAGCATTCCATTGCAGGCACTAACTGGGGAGTCTGCTTGCCCGGGAAGGTGAAGGAATTTTGTCCCACCCCCCCCCCCCGCCCGCTATTATGGGTATGTTGTCTTCAGAGGGGGTATGGTGTGGATTCGTGAGAATTATGCCTGGGCTTCAGAGAGGATGAGAGATTATACAAATTAGGCCCGTTTTCTCTAGGAGTGACCTGATCAAAACCTTTAAGACGTTAACAGGGAAGGATGGGTCAGATAAATGTCAACTATTTCCACTGGCTGGGGAATTCTAGAACTAGGGGACGTAGTCTGGGAATCAGGGCCAGACCGTTCAGGAGAGATGTTAGGAAGCACTTCTACACCCAAAAGGGTGTTTGAGGATTGGAACTCTCTTCCACAATGGCAATGCATGCAGGATCAAGCATTAGTTTTAAATCTGAAGTAGGTACATTGTTGTTAAGCAACGGTGTGAAGGGATATGGGCCAAAAGGCAGGTATGTGGAGTTCGGCAAAAGATCAGCCATGATCTCTTTGAGTGGTAGAATAGGCTCGAGGGGCTGAATGGCCTACTCCTCTTGCAATGCTTCTTCCACCCCTTGGATAATTGTCTCATCTCTCTTAAAAGCTTGCGGTCAAATCTACCTGCATTCTGCTTTCCGACTGTGCATCCCAGTTATTGGCTGCTAGGGGACGGTCTTTTCCATGTTACTTCTAGTTCCTTGGTCACCTTGCGTCCTCTGGTATAGCTTCTCCCTCCCGACTCTGTCCCAGCCCGTCGTGATTCCAGGCACCTCAATCAAATCTCTCCTGTCAACCTTTCGGTTCCCTCTGCTATTCATTCACAGCAAGGAGAGCAGCTCCAGCCTCGCTTCCCTGATCTAGGGACCTGAAATTCCTCCTCCTCTGGGAACCGTTCCCCCCTAAAACCCAGATGTGTGGGTGGCATTAGTGTAATGTCGGGTGGAGGGAAGGGT